ATTTTTTTTTTAGCTTCAGCTTGTAATCCAACCAAACCTAAATAGTACTCATAAGTAACTACGGCAACACAAACTAGTTCAGTTCTTACCTTATTCCACTCGCGTCCGTTACGCATTGGAGGACCAATGGCGTTAAGTTCAGTTGCAAACTTTTCCCACAGCTCTGCCCTGCTTTTCTTCGTGGAACCGAAGCTTCCCATTCCTCTAGCGACGTCTGGATTGTTTTCCATAATTGCAACCAGCTTTTGGAACTGCTGCGTTGTTGTCCGTTTTGTTCTGGAAATTTGTTTTGTTAAATAAAGGCCCTTATTATGAGCTGCATTCGATTTTCGATCTTCGCTGGCTATCGAAGATCGAAGATCGAAAGTGAAATTCGTATTATGAGCTATGCAAGCGTGTCGAAATTTTCGTTGAGTATCGAATTTTCTGTCGAACAGAATTTTGCTTTCGATGGTGTAGCGAAGTGTTAGAAAATTGTGAAAAATTTATGATTTTGTGTATGTTTTCTTACATTTTGGTGGCTAGACACTAATTTTAAACAATTTTTATTAATTTCATGCAGTTCTAACATCGTGAATACTAAACACAAGCACGAAAGGCTGGTTTTACTTGTGAAAGAAAATCCCAATACTCTGTTGGCACGATCTCTGAGAACAAAATCGTAGCGCTGTTGATAGTTTTAAAATATTTTAAATAGATTTGGCTCACAAACGCCTCTTTAGATGGTCGGAACTTTAAAATGAATCTGTAGACAAATTTCTTAAATATATTTTATATCAAAATATATTCGAAAGACTAATAAACTTAAACTCTCTTAAACATTTGCTACTCCTGGCCAGTTTACTAAGCTCTCATCCTCTGACGAATCGTTGAACCAGAACTCGTTGTACTCATTTTACCACGTTTTTATAAACTTGCTTTCTTTTTTACTTCATTTTAATTAGAACAAATTTACATAAATATGTATAAGCACACTATTTAGTTTGCTCGATTTGTAAACAAAGCTTCACAGCGGTGAAAAATATACTATTGTGAACAACCTAAACGAGCGAAATTCACAATAGCGCTATTCTTCATCGAATGAGCGCCATAATACCAAATGAAAATTCGTTCGCTCAGCACTTTCGACCACAGTCGAAAATCGAATGCAACTCATAATAGGGGCCAAAATTAAATAAATTAAATTAAAATTTACTCACGTCCTTTCCATTTCAAACGCGAACCAAATAAACAGTCGACAAATTTTGACAGCTCTGGCGAAGCGAATGTCGCTTTTTCGCTAGTGGCAATGCCAGAAATTCATTTTCGATAACCGTTCGCCATTTTGCGGCGAATTCGCTGGAAATTCGCGTCTCACAATTCGAGACAGCGAAATTCGCCGTTATTTTCATTCGCTTCGCGAGTGACAATACCAGCCTTAAAGTGAAACTACCTTCTTCTTTGTATCATGGATATACCCAAAATGTTTTCAACAAAGTGTGATTGAATTTGACATTGCTCTCAGAAGAACCATCCTATAAAGTCAAATTGAAAAAATTTTGTATGAATTTTGAATCGATTGTTTATATTTTTTGGCATAATAGTACCTTAAAAGAGAGCCGACCTGAGTCGTCAATCACACCTTGTTTAATACACCTTGGATACACCCATGATTCAATATTACAAGGTTTGCTCAGAAAACAGTTTTCTCGCTCTCTCTTGACAAAATCGGCTCCCTTAGCAAGACACTGTGTGTGGGTTCGTGTGTGTGTGCAAAGCTTTTGTAAGGGAGTGTCAAAACTCGAATGCCAATAATGAGCAGCGTTGCCAGGTTGACGTTTTTAATGTCATTTGGACGTTTTTTGTACCCTGTTGACGTTTGGACGTTTTTTGTATAAAATATTACGTTTTTTGTATAAAAAATCACGTTTTTTAACTTCGCAGTAATTTTTCTTTGATACTAAATCTTATAAGTAGAACTGATTTTGAATTATTTTCTTAATAAATCTTTACAATCTTTGTGTTTTGCTGGAGCTGCTTCAAAAGAGTATTTCCGGATTCTTGGACTAAGGATGCCGTGTTCAAAGGCTGGTTGTGTAAACACTTGAGGTTACGAGGCTTGCTGTAATGTTTGCAATTGCAGGCACGCTCGCAAAAGCATCAAAAAAGCTGTGCAGCATAAAACGTCAGAAAAAAGTAGGCGACTTTTCTAAGACTTCATTGAAAATGTAATGAACACAAAAAAATACTGAAATATTAGGTCCATTCAATAACTTTTCCAGTAAGTACTTGCAGCGTGAGCGTAAAAGAAAAATAGAGAGTAAAATTGAGAGCAAGAGAAAATTTTTAGAAAAAGTTATTGAACGCAAAACTAGTAAAAACTTGCAACTTAAGCCATTTTGACTTTTTCTGAAGTTTAAGTTTTGGCGCGCAATTTTCTTTTTAATTGGGAATAGTTCCCATCGAAATAAAAACAATAGATTTAAATTTTTCATCCTTATTTTCATTTCACTAATTATGTTTCATCAAATCATCCTCTTAACAGCTCTCGAATTCGCTACCTCTTGCAAATATTTTGGGTTATTGAATGCATTACCAGTAAAAACTTGCAAGTCTAGCAACAATTCGTAACAATTTTTTGATATTGAATGCACCTATTGCTATGCTCCTTCTTAGCAGAACGTAATTTAGCATTTTCGACAACCGAGCCCCGAACCAAATGTCTACAAGAAAAAAAATTATTAAAAATCAACGCGATTATTTAGCCCCTTTAAAATTGCACATTATTGCCCTGAAATTTAATAGGCTGTCAAACTGCATACTCAGAAAAAATTCTAAAAACTCTGAATATAAAGTTGAAAATCTAGCAGAAAATTTGCAATTGTTTATAATTTTTGCGCAATTTCTGTGAATTTATATTTTGTTTGTTAATGAGCTTGGCTTTTATGGAAAAATAATAAACATTAAATAAACGAAAGAGAAACAGCCTAAATCGATCAAAATATTGATGACTTAATCAGCTGATCACAAGTGTATGAATAAAATTATTTTTATATTAACGACCCGTTTACAATGAATTTTAAATGTGTTCTGTCGATATGACATCGGGCCCTAACCGCCAAAATAACGTAAGCGACAAAATTTTCTTTTTGATGCAGAAATGCATCTAAATGCTCTAGGAATATTTCTGCATCAAAAAGAAAATTTTGAAAAAAATGTCGCTTACGTTATTTTGGCGGTTATGGCTCGATATGTACCTTTGTATACAATAAGAGTTTAATAAGAACAATTTTTTGTACATCCAATTGAAAAAGATGTTTTGGGTAGGAAAAGACATTTTTTCAGACCAAGAGGGACTTTTCTCATGCCGAAGACCTGGCAACACTGATAATGAGCAAACCTTTAATTATTAAATCATGTAATCAAAATGTATTCAACAAAGTGTGATTGAATTTTACATTGCTCTCAGAACCATCCTATAGTCAAATTGAAAAAATTTTGTATGAATTTTGAATCGATTGTTTATATTTTTTGGCATAATAGTACCTTAAAAGAGAGCCGACCTGAATTGTCAATCACACCTTGTTTAATACACCTTGGATACACCCATGATAAAAACATAACAAGGTAAAACCATTGAGAGGCAGTCTGACGTTTGCCAACAATATAATTTTAAAATCAAAACTCAAACTCACACACACATTCTCATTTTCAATCTCCAACAACAACAATTGTGAACAATTTATTTATTTTTTATTTACAATTTTATATGCTTTTAAAATGTTGGCAAACGTCAGAAAAAAATCATGGCGACGAAATGAGAGAATGAATTTACCTTGTAATGTTTTTATCACGGATACACCCATGATAAAAATATAGTAAGGTAGAACCGCTGAGAGTCACTTTTAAAATTCTTGACGTTTCCAAACAATTTAATTTTTAAATTTACTCACAAACTCACACACACATTTTCATTTTCAATCTCAAGCAACAACAATTTCGAACAATTTCATTTTTTTATTTTCACATTTATATGATTTTAAAATGTTGGCAAACTTCAAAAAAAAAATCATGGCCGACAAATTGAGAGAACGGTTATACCTTGCTATGTTTTTATCATGGATACACCTATGAAGTTTTTACACAACTTAATTTCGGCATACTTAACTCAATTTATGAATCTTTTGTATTATGGGAATGTTGAAGTAAATGAGCGATATCTAATCATAAAAATTTAGAAAAATTAAACCTAACTTTGGTGTTTATTATTAGTCCACTTCTTTAAGCATTTCCTCTAGTTCGTCAAATTCACTATGTACTTCTTTTTTAAGCACCCTTGAGGAATTTAACTGATCGTACAAATTTTCAATATATTTTTTTTTCTGATATTGAAACATTTTCGGATAAGGTTCTTGTAGTTCCAGGCATCTTTAAATTCTCTTTGACAGTAGTTGTATTTAAGACCTGAGCTTTCACATAATTTACGCTTTTATCGTGGGATTCGACTCTCCGACATTTATTTACACTATTTGCCGGGAAGCTCTTGGAGCATTGTTTATTTTTATCCGCATACTTTCCATCATCTGTAAAATTGTAAACATGACAAATAATTGAGGTCATATTGTCTTATAACAAATTACCAAAATCTTCAGTGAGCCTGATGCAATCCGAATTGCAAGGTTCACAATCATTACTTTCTGATTTAATATCGCTCTGATCAAGATCGGTATAAGGATGTCCACAGTATGAACTACAGCATTCATCTTCATAGCTGTAATCGGTGTCATATTGTTCCTCCTTAATATGTTCTATCGCATCGAACATATTTTCTCCTTGTTCGTAAAAAATTAAAAATTATTTAATATGATTTTAATTAATATTAATGTATGAAAAAATGAAAAAAATTGTATTTTAAACATACGTAAATTACCCTTGCAGTTCTCATTTTTTATTGTGATCTCATTAGAAGGCGAATTGTTCCGTTCTGTTATTTGAGCAATGTTTGTAATAATGTTGCCATCATTCTCAGCTGTTAAATCAGTGACGTGAGCCGTGCTTATATTATTTGACTGAACTGTGCCTAAAGATGTTTTTTCAGCTGGATAGTTAAACTTTGCTCTACGAAAACGTAGAACAAGGGATCGCCCATCAACTTGTAAGTTCATACCATGTTTAAATGCCTCTGTTGCCTTTTCTATACTATCAAAACGGATAAACGCATACCGAATTGGTTTTATTTTCGATTTAAACGCTAGGTCGTATCTTAATGCTCCCGGAAAATGTCGTTTTATTGTTTCCACAGACACAGATAAAGACAAATTTCCAACATACAAAGTATATGGATCCACTTGCTCTGGCTTAGTGGCTGGTGGCGGTTTGGTGGGATCAAAACGCAATTCAGCCGATAAATGCCCCATCCCAAACGGTATTGTCGATATGTCCTTTATAACTTTTGCAGCATCCGTATTGTCTTTTAAACGAACAAAACAAAAGCGGGGTGCAGAATTTTTTTGAAAATGAACTGCGTCGATTTCTTTGGAAAATCGTTTAACCATTTCTGTATCCAAAGGTGGATCGGGAAAGCGTATAACCAAGTATGGAGCCGTGGTATTACGTTTACATAATTCTTCTTCGACAGCCAGAGCTTTGATGGCGTCCTCTCGGCACCACTTCCTTTTGGGAGTATCATTTTGCGGACGAGCTCGACCAAGAGTATTGTTACTTGTTTGTTGATTACCGTTTTGAACGTTTGATGGATTCAAAGGCGGTGGTACCGAAACGTTACTATACGGCATTAGATTAGTTTGATTTGGATAGGGAGGGCCGACATTTGTGTGAAGAAATTGGGGATGTGTTTGATGAATATATGGAGCCATTGAATATTGCATTGGTGGCGACATCGGCCACCCGTTGCTCATATTGTATATAAAGCTGTTTGAGGCTGAAGATCTAAAAGTCATTTGGTCTTGGGCAGCACGATGTGTTACGGCAAGGAAGGGAACGTTACTTTGCTGATTATTTTGTTGACGATATGGTGATCCATTATAAGTAGGATATGTTTGGTTAGCTCTCCTTTTTGATAAACCGTATTCATCATTCCTTCTATTACGTTTCATTATACAATTTCCGTGGAAAATTTTTTTTTCCTCCCCGATTTGATTTGGTTTGCTGAGTGGCCAGATCACATAAGCCACGTTATTCCTCCTTTAGGTGAATACCTTTGGTCAGCAATCAGCAGCAGAGCGAATATATTTAGCTATAAATAAATGACTTGAATTTTTATAACACAGACACAAAATTGTTTTTAATCCAGAAACTTCAAAATAGTACTTTTAGGAATGAAACGATACGATTATATACAAGTACATACTCGATACTTTTCGTTCGATTCCAAGTCATATTGGCATCGATACTTTTGAACCAAGTACTGAGTAGGTATCGAAACCCGCTACCAAGGTAAATTTTGCTCCGAAATTTTTTCATCTACGTTTATGCATAATATGAATCGCCCTGTGCTTTTTGGCAACTAAGGCTAAAGCAGTGTTTGCATTATTCAACTGCGTTCAACTCAACGCAGGGTTGCACGAAAAAAAAGTTGAATGGCTAAATGTTGGCTGGCGACCAACTTTGTTGAAAGCAATTAGTTGAAAGGCCATTCAACCAAAAGTTGAATGCAAAGTTGAACAATCCAAACACCTTTTTATGGCGAATATTTTGATATTTTTTCATATTTTGATATTTTTAGCCATTCAACTTTTTTTTCGTGCAACCCTGCGCCGAGTTGAACGCAAAGTTGAACAATGCAAACACACTTTAATAGCGACAAAAACAAACCTTTATTTTCCAATGTGGCAGCACATAGTGAAGCGAAAAGCGAAGAAAGCGACAAAGAGCATAGCGACGAAAACAAAAAAAAATGTTTTCGTTGCTTTCTGAGCTGATGGTTGCTTAACTATGTTTTGACGTTACTTGTCTCTTTCTTCGCTATTATCAGAAAATGTCTTGTCGCTCTCATTGTCGCGTCAGTATGTTCTTTGCCTTAATTGTTAGCGAATACCGCCATGAACGAAAGACACAAGATCACGTAAGAACAAGAGAGTGAAAAAAGTCGATTTTTTTAGCGGGTTCTACGCCATCTTGATTCACTGGAAAACGAGCGAAAAGTAAACAAAGCAAGCCAACCAACGAAAACCAAAATTAGCCAAAATTATTGTCAGCCACTTTAAACGCACAATTTAGGTAAAATGATGCAACAAAATGCTTTAAAATGTGTTGTCATGTTGAATTAACTCTTCTTTACTTGAATAAAAGTGTAAAATAGTGGTGCTTGTGATGTAAACAAACGCTCAGCTGACGAACCCGCTTTTGCAAACTTTTTTCTCAAAACCAGTTACAAATACAACGTCGCGTTCTTACGTGATCTTGTATTTTTGTATCAGACTCTCGACGTGGTTTCGAGTTGGTTAGCTTTTAACCATCTCAGTGAAATGGTTAAGTGCTGTCATTTTTATATGGCGAAACTACGCTAAATCAAGTGGGTTATCGGGATAACCAACTCAGTAGCCATAACTACGTGGTTAGCTCCGGTGGGGACATGGTATAAACGTGTTTATTTTATTTTGGGTTGACTTTATTGTCCATCGACACGAATTGTCGCATGAAACTTTACGAGGATGCTAAAACAAATATGTTTACATGAATTCTCACTATTTCCACTTTTATAATACTAGTATTTAAGTAATTTGTTGTTTAAATGGTTTGCACTTCCACTAGCAATTTTGATATAAAAATGCAGCGATCACTTATATGTGCATAAATGCACGATCTTTTCAAAGTTCACGTGTGATTTGTTCACATTTATCTATTTCCGCACTTTTTGGATGATAGCATCGCTGCAACTTCCATCAACCTGTTTTCTTTTTTTTCCTCGTGTCGATTTTCACTAAAATTTTCACTTTATTCATTTAGTTTTCAATACAAAAGCGCGCACTAACACTAATTTTCACAATTTTCTTTTCTCCTAAAATGTCTAGAAAAGTTTTGTTCTTACCCGTTCCGGTTGCTATTCACCAATGCTGTATTGAAATGGCCGACTGTGAGGTTGCCATCGGGTTTTTATACCCTTGCACTTGCGGGAATATTCCATTTGGAAGAATAACGGGCACTGCGTCATTTGGACTAGTTCCGCTACTCTTCCAAATGGAATTTTCCGCAGTGCAAGGAAGAATATCAAAAAAAATCCGGGGTTGCCATGACCCAGTTACTGCCCGTCTCCACACGATAAAGTCCATATCCCGACACATATGCTAGAATATAAATATCCAATGACCGCTCCTTGCCCTTCAAGAGCAACATATATCAGAGCTTATATCCTGCCATCCACCGCCGTCAGCTTGGTTGCCCGACAGCTACATTCTCATTTGCACGAAAACTTCATGACGGCAACACTATCGATATTTTAATATAAAAGCAAAAACTTAGTTGTCTTCTATTGAAATATTTATCATTATGTACCTGGATTTAAAATAACCCATTTTCTAAGTTTTTAAGCGATTAAATGGAAGACGGCTCAACTCTTGCTTCTATGGGCCGTGCGAATTGATAGAATGGTGGAACTTTCGACGGATCAGAATAAAAATTTGACATTTTCGTGGTGAATACGAACGTCAGCATTTTATCTAGCTCATGGGGCTAGATAATATTTGATAGCTTTTAAATATGTATATACCTAATCTTGTTGCGATATCAGAGTGAAAATAAGAATAGAAACCGATGAAACCCGCAGAAAACGTACGTTACTGGCAGGTTATAAAATAGATGTAAATTTTGACGATTTCAGCGGTTTTCCCAACTGTCAAAAATTTACTTTGCGTTTGGCACAGCAAACCCAATTTATTCGTACACCATAAAGTTTAAGAAAGGAAAACGTAGCTGTCAAACTAACAAGCTACCGCAATAGATGCCAAGATATAAGCCCCTATGTATATTTCTCTCTACCTTCTAACATATGTGTCAAGATATAAACTCCATCCTGTGAAGACGGCAGCTACAGACAATTGTCACAACCTATCACCAGTCTCTACGGGAAAGCATTTATTACCCAACAAGAAGTAACCAAACAAACCTGCAAGAACCAGTGACAATCAGCGACACTGTCCGAAAGGAACACAGTTGTCGCAAAAATGGCAGACCTTCCTTGCAGTTTTGGTGTTGCCGTACGCTCTAGAAAAATTATTAGGTGGTGAAATTTCTGACATACTACCGGGTGCGCTATATGCCGAGGAATAAAGTATTTATATTTTGTGCGGCGAACAGTAACCCATAACAATTTTAGCTGCAGTATAACATGCCACGAAAACGAAAAATTTAAAACAACAGCGCTTTTATAAAAAACCGACTAGCGCGACTTCCAAAACTTTTTTTTTTCAAAATAAAAAAAATACGTTTCTTTTTTTATCCAGCCCAGGAACTGAAAACTGCGTTGCTTTTGTTGTATAAACAAGCACGGTCATTTTCACATATAATTGCAACTTCTGTTCCTTGCGACCGATTCTTTTCTAAAGCTGAGGCAACAATAACCTCGCCAAGAAATCGGTTGACTAGCAAACATTTGGAAAAACTTCTATTCTTGGGAAGTACAACCAAAGAAGACTTTTTCGCTGAAATATTTTATTAATAAAAGTTTTCTTAAAAAGGATTCACTTGTATGTAGTCTTTTCCAATGTATATGAATGTAAATACCATTCCTCAATAAACATATAGTTCTATGTAACGGAGGTTTATTTATTTTCAGTTCCTACATTATTAAATTTTATTATTCGGAGTTAAGGATCCCCAAAGGATGATTAACTTGTGATTTAAAAAATAAATTTATACTAGGTTCACATATTAGTAGGTTATCCTCATTTTCGAGCTTAAAAGCATAAAAAGACGGCTGCGTTGATCAGGATCAACTCGCTTATACGGAATTTTCTCTGGAATTAACTGCAGTTGATCCAGATTAAGTCCTAGAGTTAATTCCCAAACTTAACTCGGATCAAGGGAAATTTCGATGACAACACTGACCAAAACTCAGAGAGCGTAGAATACAGGGAAAATGCAAAATTAGCATGAACATATACCTTTTCATCGGTAATGCAGTCACTAATACTAATCCAAATAGGATTCCAATTTGAAATGAATAAGAACTTATTTCGGTGACTGCATTACCGACGACAGGGTATATGTCTATGCTAGTTTTGCAGTTTCTTTTTGTTCTACGCCAACTGAGCAAATAAAGCAACCGATTCCTTCATCCGCGGTAGTCGAGTGGTGAGAGCTGCGTACTATAAGCCTGTAGGTCCCAGGTTCGATCCTCTGTTGGAGCGATTGCCAAAAAAAAATTGTTTTTATTATTTCTTTAATTTTTTCTAAATTCTATTTGATTTATATATTTAATTGTTTTTTTATTTTATTTTCGTTTTTTTTAAATTTATTTTAAATTATTTATTTTATTATTAGTTAACTTAAATTTTTAGAGTTTACTAAAAGTCAAAAACAACTAACTAAAAACATAGAAGTTATAACTGAATCAATAAAAAAAAATTAAATGAATATTCTACTGGCCATGGGACTCGAACCTACGACCTCGCGGCTCGTTAATCCGCATTACTGCCATCTGTCAAGGCACAATTTTGATCAGATCAATTGCGGCGTTAATCCGGATCAACGTTGCCGTCTGTCTATGCTTTAACACCCTAATCTGTAATTAAATAAGAGATTAGCCATATAAAATTCGTCCCTTGTTAATCTGTAATTATAAAATAATTTCAGATTTAACCGATAACTTTTCGGTGTCCATACTAGTTTTATCGACTGTTTTTGCGAAAAGGAAGAGAAATGCCAAATTTGAAAGTAAACAAAAATGGACGCTAGCAAGGAAAAGAGGTTTTTAAAGGTATTTTTAATAAAATGTTAAGTTAAAATATATTTATATTGCTAAATATAGCAGAAAAACGTGATCACGGTGGCACAGAGAAGAAACATAACTTTTCCTTGAGGTGTGAGAATAACAAGCACAACAAATTTGACGGCTAATAATCTGAGATTTGCCTGTGTAAACGGGGTGATTAAAAAACGAGCTTTGATTGAGATAATATTCATATGTGAACATACTTTTACCCTAAAGCGAAGCGCACATTGGCGCGATTCTGTCGTTGCGAATCCGCAAGCCCAAAAATTACAACAATGCTACCCATACATTTTAATGCGCTAGCGCACACTTGCACGATTCCGTCGCTGCGAATTTTTCGAACATTCAATGTTCCTCTCTATTGACGCGTTCGAAACGCTTGCCGCGTTTTGAAGGCGTCAAAGAA